GATATGAGATTATATCGCTGATAGATCATAGACCTTTTTGTATCAAAATCAGTAGTATATTGCTGAACATCATGCTTATGTTGTTGCACGTTATTTTGTTGTATATTGCATGATGTCGTGTGTGATTATGTGAGACTTATGTTTAGACGTAGTACAGTACGCCATTGTATATCTGTTTTTGTGTATCAGTATATATATATATACACACCCCACAGGTGATTACATCATAATTTGTTGCTCATACATACACACATATTTTGTGTATCTGTATATTGGTGGGTATTGTCATTTTCCAGCATGTTCTGATATGGTATGCTATGTTTTACTTTGTTAGATTGTGCTATGCCAGAATACATTACGTTGATTGAAGTTGTACTGCACCTTGCCATACTCTACCGTATTATGCGACATTGTGTTATGTTATAACATGTTGTATTATGTTTTGCCGTTGTGCTATATGTTGTTATGGTATGCGATGTTAAACTATGCCGTGTGGTGTGGTGTTGTGTTGTTCTCGTACATTATCTTATGTGTTACAGTGTGCTTTGATTTGTCGTGGTATGGTGTTGTGTGCTGTTTTGTGTTGTCTTGTTATAGCATGTTATGTTATATTAGTACATGTCATATTGGGTTATGTTACGTTGGACTTTATTCTATTGAATTTTCTCTATTATACTACACTGGCTTTGTTATAACCTTACTACCTTATGTTATGTTATGCGGTGTTCTGTTGTGATGTTGTGATACGATTGTGTTATGCAGTGTTGTACTATACGCAATATTTCGCTGTATTATAGTACAGTATGCTGTCATGTTATGTTGGATTGTGTTGCGTTGTCGTGTTGTGCTATGAGCCATGTTATGTTTTTCTAGTGTATGACATGTTGGATTGAAATATCGTTAATAGTGTTATATTGTACTGTCATTTTTTGGGCTAGGCTTTATTGCTTCGTGTTACTATATATGTCATAAATGTTTAGGGTTTTTGCATTGTAGCCTATGTTGTTACAATCTTACGTGTATATATATATAGTACAACGTCATATTTTGTTCTACTCTGCTCTGTTGTAGTACATTATGCTACATTCCATGTTCTATCCCTGTACTATCTGACACTATACGGCCAGATATTACATTATGTTAGTATAGTGCAATAGAATATCTTATCTTCTGGTCAAGTTATGCCATGTTGTTGCAACCCCAGCAATTTAAGGAATATGTTAGCACATTATACTTCATCATCCCACGTTATAGTGCATTGTATTGTTTTGTTTGTTACACTGTCTTGTATTGTGCTGTGTTATAGTCTGCTATAGTTCACCACAGTCATTACAGTATGTTCTGTTAGGTTTTATGTTATGCAAATTGAGGTCTATCGGGTTCAGTTCTGTTGGATTATATTTCGACTTTGCTAGCGTGGTTCATATCCGTTTATATTTTTTGTTTGTGGGTTTTAATTTGTTTTATGTCGTGTTCCATTAATTCCCATTACTTCGTAGGATGAATGCAGAACAATCTTAGAGCATAGACGTCATAATGGCTGGGCCATGGATGCTCTGAATTCGGAGCCGGTCAGACCATGGACATCGCAATGGTCGGGCCGTGGATGCTCTGAATTCAGGACGGATCGGACCATCGACGTCGTCATGGTTGGACCATGGACGCTCTGAACTGAGAACGGATTAGACCATGGACGTCATCAGGGCCGGGCCGTGGATGTTCTGAAGTCCGAACATATGCAAACCACGGACATCATCATGGCTGGGCCACGGATGCTCTGAACTCGAAAAGGAACATGCTGGGCTCTCGCAAGGCTTTAAGTGTTCGCAGATGTGAGGGTAGTGCCCCGCCAAGCACACACTGGCCGCTGATCGAACGTTGATTGTTTCTACATGTTCGGCTGCTGGTGAACCGCTGCTGTGGTCGGCCAGCCTCGGAGTTCAAATCACGAGATCTTTTGAGCCTGGTTTAGTTTGTTTTCTGAATTCGGATCTACCGTAAGATGCCGAGATTTCGACGGTGCCAAAGGTATCAATCTGCGACAACGAGTGAGTTCCTGGAAGCTTGTAAGAGCAACCAGGAAGGGGGTAACAACTTTGCAGAGCAATCCTGAAGCCTTATTTACCGTATATCATGATGTATGTAACGTGGTGAGCTTTGCAAGTCAAGACTGATCGGAATATGCTGTGCTGAGGTTCAAGGTGTGTGAGAAAAAGAGACCGTTGGCTTTCCTTCGAGTTTTGATTAAGGAAAAGCCAGTTCCAAGAAACCGGAGGGGGTGCAATTCTGGTGCATGGTGCAACAGGGGAGCATAAGGAAAAACCAAATTTTGGGGTGAAGCGGGGGAGCAGAAGGATAAGCCAGGTTCGCATAAGGATAAGCCAGGTTCGCATGCGGACGTGAGAGCTGCGGCAATTGAAGCACGATAGATGTCGTCCCTGGCAGGAAGTTCGACAACCCGATGGCTGCCATGACTCTCGGGCTGAACTTCAACACCTCCATGTCTCTTTCTCGATCTCTCTCTTTATCTCTCGCTCGCTTTCTTTCTCACAACTCTAACTAAAACAAAACGAACACCCGAAACCCATGTTGCAGCTTCTTGCATTCGTTCCGCCTCGCAGGGCCCAGGAACATCGGCTTCTAGAACCACTTCTCGGCTTCGGACAGCCATTGACAACCCAAGTTTTCCTTTGAGTTATAGTCATGGAACAGCATTGACAGCCCAAGTTTTCCTTTGAGTTAGAATGCCGTACAGCAGGTTTGATAATTGATCTCCGTTTCTCTTCGAGTACCCACTATCACGATGTGGGTAGACCTGCAACGATACCTCACTGCCTCCTCAAACCCGTAGATGCAGTGTGTCGTCGGACTTTGGTGCTGTGGCGTTGACAGCCATCCAATTGGTTTTCTGATAGTCTACGATGCCTGCAAGTAGGACCGCGACTAGTACTCCTGCGAGTACTATCAAGTACTACGTTCGCCGTAGCAACGACAGGAGCACATGCTGTTGTTGTTCTCATGTATCATGTCTCGATGAATCCTGCACCCTGCCTAGAACTGCTACAACCTATGCAACATGCGTCATAGCCGACATGCGTTTCTACGCGGGCCTGCAATGAAAAGCAGGCTGTGGTAGTCAGAAGGGCAGCGTTAGCCTGAAAGATGGATTGCTGACGGGTTTGACACTTTTCATCGCCCAGATCTGTAGAGGATATTGTCCGACTTTCATCCAGAACCAACGTGTTTCGCTCCACTCTGCGGAGCTTTGAGCCAGCCGTCCAGAAGCTCCGAGTTTCGGGCCCTTGACTTGGTTCCCCTTTCGACGAACCCTGCAACAAGTTTTGCTATAAGCGTTACTTAGCCCATGCATCTGAGCCCCAAGCGAGGCATAAGATCGGCATGTCCAGCGAGACACCTCCCTTGCCGACTTCCTTCTCCGAGCGCTGTGCCGACTTCACTCAACGGTGCCTGCAGCGTGAGCCCACGCAAAGGCCCAGGGTACAAGGGCCCTAAATAATTACCACTAATGCTTTCGGGGGTTCCTTATGTTGTCATAGTGTAGTATACCCAAAATCCCTAATCTAAGAATTGAGGCCGCTACATGAGGATGAGGGGTTTCCGGTTGGAAGGTTTAAGGCTTCACTCTTGATGCTCATGTATCACCAGCACACGAGAATGCGGCGGGGCAGCACGGTTTGCTGGAAGCTCAGTCCTGCAACTTCGAGCATGATGTATCATCCAGATTGGGACTTGCAGCCTTGATGTGTCCGAAACCTTATACCCCAAAGCCCAAAGCATTCAAGCCCTAATCGACGTCACACCCCTGAACCTGGCATACCCTGCGAGGGCTGGAGCAGCGGTCTTGTTGCAACATCCCTTCGCGGCCTTGGTTACATCTTGGAAAGCTTGGGGGTTTGGGGTTTCGGGTAGGGTTCCGAGGTTGACGGCTTGCAGGGGTTATGCTTTGTCGCAAGGTTCAGATGGGAAGTTTTTTGCAGTGGGCTACTCCTGCCTTGGAGAACTCAGCCGCGGGTCGAGTCATGAGCAAAGCCCTGGCTGGGAGAAGTAGAGATGAAGCAAGATCATGCGGGTCTAGATGTTCCTATACCCCTGCAATCAAGTACCCCATGAGCAGTAACCGAAGATGTGAGTCAGGGGTAAGGGTCTCGGCGACTGCATGGCAACAGAAATCTCAGGTGGTGGAGGCAGCGTCTGATGACGACTGATGCCACGGAACAAACCTCGCCGAAGCCACTTTTCCAATGGCAGCAGAAATCTTGCGCCATCCCAACCAGCCCTCTTTGGCTGCTCTCACTGTCTAATGTTGATCTACCTACATGGCTCGTTCTTGCAAGAGTCCAATGGATTAACTTCGTGACAAACTTGATAAGTACTGTTTTGCCGCATCCAGGGCTGCCGAGTTCCCATATTGTGCTGCGATAGGGACCTTCGTGTTGCAAGTGAATTCTCTTCTGTATTTAGGTATCATGCAGGTATGCTTGTATGCTTGTGTTCAGGTTATTGCCGTGATGATATCTTACGCTTGCCAATCTGATGGGCATCGTAGCCTGTTGCCGGATCCCACTGCAACAGCAGAGCCGCGCCATCAGTCTGCAGCACACTAAGCGTCTCACATGGGCAGCGATGCTGCATTAGTTTAGGCCCCCCGGCGTCTTAAATGCTGGACAGCCGCGAAGGCGGTCTCTCCGGCTTCCCCTTTGAGGATTGTGCTGACATGGGCCGGTTATCGCGTAGCGCCTGGGCACCAGGGCGTGGGTTGCGTTGGGGAACCTGAACGCAATCACGCACACAGCGCTCTCCTCGTTGCGACTTTGCTAGGGGGAAGGGAAAAGGGTGTTTGGCGTGAAGAGAACCGTCTCTCCTCTGGTCAAGGGCTTGGGCTACATCCTATAGTGACTTATGTAGTTTTGATCAAACTTGATAGTAGATTCACAAGTTATACCGCTGGGCAAACCAGCATGGCATGTCGCGCCAGACAGGAGCTTCTGTTTCCGAACCCTGCCACGTTCGCGAAGCCGGCAGCGCAAGCACGAAGTCTGTCCAGGACACACTGGTTTGAGTCACGAAAGCAAGTAGTTCGCGGAGTTATCGAGTTCAAGAAGACGGAGTTGCCTAAAGCCTGGCATCCCGCCACCTGTCAATTAGCAATGTACATTGCAAACCTGGGCAACCCTGATTGACGTTCGCACATGACGTCGGATATTTCAAGCATCAACCTCACTCGTCACAGGACGTCGTACCCTATGACTGGCGCAAGATCTGTGTCGTCTCCCAGCTTGCTAGGCCAGGTTTTTTGCATGGGATGGCTGGTCTGTCCCGCAAGAGCAGTCACCGAGCTGAATGCGCAAAGATTTGGCATTCCGTCAGGCAGCTCACATGCACAAGGCGTGAGGCACTTAGTGGACCAGGCTCTCGCAAGAGTGTTGTGTGCAGTCGCTTGCCTCGGAATTGCTCAGCGACTGCAGACTGCACGGAACTGCTTAGTCGAATAGAGTCCACCCCAACTTGAAACGAAACCAACCTGGACCGTAGTATGGCATGTTACAATGCCACCGACGAATGGGGGCATTTTGTTGTGGTATGGTATTGATGGTGCTTGTAAGTAGCCTTCTCCGCACTGAGGAGAAGGAGTCCTCGAAGTCGGTGAAGGCGTCGCGGCCTTAGTGGCCTTAGTGCCGTCCACCGCCCTTTCTCGGATCAGATGCATCCGCCGAGGGAGCGGGGGCTGATGTAGACTCATAGGCAACAGCAATAGAAGCAGTGCTGTCGACCTAGGGTTCATCATCCTTTATGCGTCAACGCAAAGCACCTCGGGTTTTGGTCGAATAAGACCTTGACGATGTTGAGAAGGGTATCAACGAAGGTCAACACAAACATCAGACGCTGTTGGTGCTGCGCAGCAAAAGCAGCTGCAGCAGGTATGTATCAGCAACACCAATGCCAATACAATTAACGAGAACAATGACAACATCATGGTTATTCTGCCCAATTTCACGCAAGAAAACTTTCCCCTGCTGTGCGTCCGAGTACATGTCCGCAGGCGTTGCTGTAGTGTCAGCAAGTATCATGACTATTGTGGCTACTCTGACGATTACTTTTTGTTTCCTTGCTCATGACGCAGTGGTTGGTATGTCGCATGCTGTGATTCTTGGTTTCTTCGGCTTGAGTCTTGCTGGTCGGCATTTCTGTAGGCCTGAAAGCCGCAAATTTCCCTTTACGCACCCATCTGCCTCGTTGTGCCAAGGCCTCAGAGCCTGCTGTCCCTTGTTTCGGTCGAGGGAAACCGGAGGCCCTCCATCCTCCGCCGCAGATCGCCGTGGGCTTAGGTCTTTGGTGCAAGGTCTCCCGGGTGGAGCGTAAAGTTGAGGGTCTCAGGGCTTGCAGTTGCGCTCACCGGAGCCTGTAAGCTTTCTGAGGTTCTGGCATGGAAACAATTTCTAAATTTGGCGAGAGAATCACACGCACTCAAGAGAGCTGGAGGAGGTCGGGCCGGGCCGCAGCAAGCCTCCGTTAGGAGCATCAAGGACCAGAGGCATAGGTGTAGCATTGATAGTGATCCTTATATCAATATGCTTACACCGCGCATAGTCATAGTCATTTCTCAGCTCCAATTGCTTCCAAATGTGTGGGCCCGCAGTAGTTCGCTGCTCCATCCTGAGGTCTTGGGGTGCACGGCCGATGCTGGCTGATGCCATGTCGAAGATGCAGATGCACCCTGGTATGTAGCCTGCGCGGTCGCTGGAGAGGCGAAAACGCCGAGCATTGCCCAGCTGCGCGGAGCGCTCTGAGCAGGGCTTTTCGTCCGACCTTGCAAAGCGAATGATTCAAAGTGGCCTTGATGCAGTGTAGTTTGAGTTTCGCATTGCGTTGGCAACAGTTCACACATGTTCACACCATGTCAAGACCCGTCCAGCCACTTAGACGACCAAGGCCACCATTTTTAAGAGAGAGAACCTCCATGAAGTCGGCGACCATCATGGGCTGCCATGGGGCCATGAGGTCCATCCTGGCTTAAGACATGTAGCGAGATCCCCATCTCGACTCTGTCTCTTGTCAGATGCTCATTGGACTAAAGTCCTCTTTAAGATGCCTTTTTCGATCAGGTATCCTTCATCTGCCCGCGGGAAGGGCAATTTCCTATGCGTTGCTGCAAAACTTCGCGCGCCGGAACGAGTGTTTTTCCAACAGGCCCTCTTCCTCAAAACAGACTCGAATACTAAAAATACTGGAAACACAACGAAACAAAACTCTTGATAATATCAATCAAGATCGAGACGTACCGTCAAGCCCGAAAGCCGAGACTCACTGACCAAGTCAGTCGGAGATCTTGAGCGTGAGGCTGGGTCGGCAGGTAGACCCCACCCACCAGCAAAGCCGAGAAGGCAAGGGCTTCGCATTACATAGCCGATGGCGGGGCATCGTGGCAAAGTTTGAGTTAGATACAGCCCTCGCCTTCTTCGACGTTGACCAGCATTCTGGAAATATCCAGGTGTCTTTCCGAGCCACTTGTTCCAGCCCAGACGTGTCATGCCTCGCAACGGCGGGATGTAAACATAATCCCGTTTTTGTCCTGCTAAGGCAGATGGCATCATGACTGTGAAAGTAGCGCAGCAGTAGCAGTATTCGAGGCGCGTTGCAGGCCGGGCCGTTGGCATCGAGTTATTTTCGGGGCACTCAACTACGGAGTGCGCACTGTAGGCCGTTTTTCGTGTGCCTTCAATTAACCACATGGTGAGCTGGAGGCTATGCCACACCACTTTTTGTATCTACTTGAACTTCTTGAATTGTTCATGAACGACTAATGGCTAGCGAGAGTGTAGACGAGATGAGCTGAGATTAGATTAGGGTAGGATAGATATATAGAACAGATAGGTAGATAGATAAATAGATATAGATTGATCGATAGACAGATAGATAGATAATACATACGTGACATATGTCTTTAATCATTCATTTAAGTTAAATGTTTGCTAATCCCGCCGCCCCTTGAACTACCGCGAGGCCTACTATCCATACATATATATATACATATATATATATATACATATGTACACATATTGTGTATATTATATATATATACATACACACATGTACGTAATACATATACATGTTTAGAAAGAGGTAGATATAGATGGATATAGACAGATATAGATATACATACCCACACACACACATCGCACTTTTTGTGTATGCGCATTTGTGTTTGCATTCGTTCATTATAGACAACTTTAGACAGAAGTACACGCACATGTATGTGTGTATATATAGATATATAGATATCTGTCTGGCTGGCTGGCTGGCTGTCTGTCAGTGCACGTAAGTAATGTAAGTATGTATGTAAGTATGTGTATGTCAATGTGTATGTCAATGTGTATGAGTGTAACTTAAAGCCCAAAACTTGTCGAGGCCGCTGTAGCACCTGTCCAGCCTGAGACAGCTCACCATCGACCCCCCTGAAGACTACGACAGACCTGCACATCCTGCGCAAAGGAGACTGCTGGTGCCTTGTTGCCGGCCGATTTGAGGGTGTGTGTGTGTGTGTGCAGGATTAGCCAGTGTGGCTTGCATGGGGTTTAGGGATGTCGGGAGCTGCATAGACTCTGTGCCGGTTTGCGAGGGCAGCGAGTGGCCCCCCTCCAATCCACCGCTACGAGCAAAGCTCATTGACCAAATTCCCAGGAACACGCTGCTTGGCTTCGTGAGCAAGAGGCACGACGGCTGCTCCCCCCTTTGTGAGTGCTGAAACCCAAGACCAAGACAAGGACCCTGAACCACAAGACTATGACCTTTCGACTGGAAGCTCTTTGTGCCTGATATGAGGCTGCTGCTGCCACGGAGAGGCACCCTTGAATGCTTTGCAGCACAGAAAGTCGCAGGTGTGGCTCAATCATGATAGTCACATGCATCCGAAGCATCACGCATATCCTGGCAAGCATGGTCACCGTTATGAAGATGAGGAGCCTATATGCGACAAAAGTATTGAACGAGTGCATGCAGCGCTTGCTTCTTGCCTTCTTTCGTTCCTTGATGATGACAGTGACAGACCTTGTGTTCGCATCGTGCGTATGTCTTAGCCTGCGTGCAGATTTCAGAAGACTTTGTGCACCTTTACGGATCGAGTTGCACATTCCGTTCAGGATAATCCCATCGGCACCGCCTTCGGCAAGCGAGTCTGAAAGTTGCAGCCCCGTTGCAGCTGCATGAACTCAAGTCTTCTAACGTTGCCGTCGAGGATAAACATGTACACCCAATATATTCACCAACTTGCTGACCGCCATGTGGACGTGTTCCTTATGATGCAGACTGAAGATGTGCACGTCTTGTCTCTGTTCATTGACCGCAACCTTAAGGACCTACTATGAATCCCCAAAGGTATAAGAACCCTAAACCCTTTTAAGGTTCTTTTCGTCCTTAACGAATGATTAGCTGTATGAATCTCTATAAGTCTATAAGTTAAGGTATGAGAACCCTGGGTTCTTTTCGTTCATTTAGGAATGACTAGCTAATAATAATAATAAGAATAATACTAATAATAGTAGTAATAATAAGAATAATAATATATAATAATAATCATAATAATAATACGAATAATAATATTAGTAATAGTAACAGTAAGAATAATCATATTTTATAATCATATATGAAGCTGTCTTTTTTCTGGCATCATCCTCAGGTCCGGGAGTCGCCTTCGATCGCACTCAAGGCGTGCTCCACATTCCTCTGTTCTATGAGATTAGGGCTATCAGGGTTTAGGGTATATGAGTTTAGGGCTATTAGGGTTTAGGGCTTAGGGTATATGACTTTAGGGCTATTAGGGTTTAGGGTTTAGGGTATATGAGCTTAGGGCTATTAGGGTTTAGGGTTTAGGGTATATGAGCTTAGGGCTATTAGGGTTTAGGGTTTAGGGTATATGAGTTCAGGGTTATTAGGGTTTAGGGTTTAGGGTATATGAGTTTAGGGCAATTAGGGTTTAGGGCTTAGGTTATATGAGTTTAGGGCTATTAGGATTTAGGGTTCAGGGTATATGAGTTTAGGGCTATTAGAGTTTACAGGGTTTAGGGCTTAGGGTATATGAGTTTAGGGCTATTAGAGTTTAGGGTTTAGGGTATATGAGTTTAGGGCTATTAGGGTTTAGGGTTTAGGGTATATGAATTTAGGCTTCGGGCTATTAGAGGCCATCCATTGATTGGCCTCGGGTGGCAGCGTTCGGTGCAGCGGCTTACATGCCAGATCGTGTAGGAGTGGAAAAACCCCCAGGCCATCGCCCGTTGCATGATACTCGTACAACCTTGTCGTTATGAAGCCGGGGATCGCAGCATGACCACCTGCCTCCAAGAGGACTTGAGTCTTGTTTGGCCTGTGTGTTCGTGTCTGCTGATTTCCCTAGGTGGACAAGCTCATCAACTGATGACTGTTCAGCGCTGTTATTCTCTCCAACTCAGACCCTGAGTCAACTAGCATCAAAAACCATCTAGAACTACTAAGGTTACTGTTGTTATTATTCTTCTTACTATTTCATTACTCCTACTCAGTCAAAACCAGGATAACAAAAGGCAAGAGGCCGGCCCCGCCATGGGGACCGCGGCAGCAACGGGACAACCTTAAACCGCAGTTCTAGAACTCTGGGTAGTTCCATGAGGTACGCGATTCAGGGCTCTGGGTAAAAATTATGGCACTGCAATAGAATACATCTTGCCTTACGCACGAGTACTCAGTAGCCTTCAACCATCCCTCAACCCTGAACTCACGGCAGGCACAACTAGCTACGACAGCATGAAGCCCTTTGGTCGAGCTCGATTTTTGAAAGTAGAACCGTACGGAAACTCCACAGTCGATAATACTCTCATCAAACCCTCTCATCAAGCCCTATAAAGTCCACATGCCGCACTTCCGGTGTGCTGCCATGGCTTGGCGAGATGCAGCCGGTGATCTGCGCCGAGCGCGGCGTCAACTCGCTGACGCTGGAGGTCTCACCCGGCGACGCCGAGCCTCCTTGGGCGGTGCCTGAAGTTACCATATGGGACTTTCCGAAAGTTAGGGGGGTACCTTACTTTGGGGTCCTTATAATAAGGATCCTACTATTTAGGGTATACTATATTCGGGTCCCCTATTTTCGGAAACCCCCAATATAGGGGCATGATGCGGTACTGGGTGGCTTCCCAGGTACGGTAGCTGAAGTTCAACCAACTAAGTTCCTCGGTCGGGTTCCTGGACCTTCCAAAACCTTTGCAAGTGGCTTGATTTTCCTGGGCTTAAAAACCCTAAACCCTAAACCCTACCTTATGGGCTGACGGAAAAGAGGTGATAAAAAAAACCTGCAAGATTGAACTACGAGGAGCCTTGCCTGCTGCGAGCGAGTGTGAGAGTCGAACCCTGCTCCCTTTGGATGATGGAGGTCCTCCATCGCTTAGTCGTGAGTTAATGTACCACGACTGTGTAGCTGACGACTTCGGGCCTCCTTCTTCTGTAAAGTTCGGTTACCTTGGGTTAGCGTACTGTTGCTACGTGGCTCCTGTGTTCCAGTGGGATGGGCCCTAGACTACCGACATGTAGAACTGCCGTCCGTTGCACGATGTCTGACCAGGGTATGTTTCCTTGGTTTTTTTTGCTGCTATCTTGTTGGGTGGTGCGTAATGCTTTGGTCAGAGGCTGTATTTAGTGTCACACCGACCGGCACCTGTGAACCTCGCCTGGCATGTCCGAGTTGAGTGTAAACCCTAAACCGCCTAAACCCTTACTATAAGGGTTACTGGAAGGCTTGACTTGCCGAGGTGCAAGTCCTGGTTCCCGGGAGCTGGTTCCAAAGCGAAGAGTGGAGAGAGCTGGTGGAAGGCAAGGAGGTGTCCACTGTGCAAGTTCTAGGCTCGAAAGCCCTCTACCATGTGCACGTTTCGAATCTGCAGCCCGATGCTGCGATGCATTATGGTAGTAATGTGGCATATGATTGGCCCAGGATTATTGATGAGGTCTCCCCACAAATGATCCTTCAGGGAGCCCTGCGCGCAGCCAAGGAGACGAAGTACAGCCTCCGCGTCGTGCCTCCGAAGAAAGCTGGAACGATTTGGAGCTTGCACTGTGAGTGCTCGACATTGGGAAGACCGGAGCGCTCGAATCCACCTCGATGCATTGGCCGCTGGCCAGACAAGTTGCGGATTGAGTGGAAGGTTCGGACGCCGGTCGGCGCTCCGGTTCTCGAGTGCCAAGTTCAGCAGTGCTCGCAGGAGGTTTTCAGTGTGTGGCAGGACGTGGCTTTGCTGGAAGATGTGGCCGTATCAGAGAGCAAGAACGGCAAGCCGAGTGACCGAGAGGAGACATGGAGCGCGGCCGTACCTAATCTGAAGGCTGCAACAAGCTATCATTTCCGGGTGAAGGCTTGCAACACCGTCGGGTGGTGTGCGGACTTTTCAGACGAGGAGATATTCCGCACATCGGAGCCACCAGAACCTCCTGTGAAGCTCAAGCTGGTGTCTCGGCAACCGGCCAAGGTGGAAGTGGAGTTCGAGTTCCTGGATGCCGACGGATGCCCAGTCTCACACATCGAACCAGAGTTCTGTCTGAAGCCTGAAAGCACCAACATTACGGGAGTCATTCCTGGAGAGAGCGCCGACGGCTTTAGCAACATACTGGACGCCGCGACATGGTGGTGGCAGACGCCACAGCACTTTCAGCTGTCCCTGCAGGCGAGAACATGAACCAGAGAGCCCAATACCCCTTAAGTAAGGAATATACACCTTCAATCAGAATATTAAGGCCCCTATAATTTAAGGTATATTCCTTAATTAAGGGGTATTGAGCTCTCGGGGAAGACCCCTCTCCCAGTCGCTCGAGATCAACGGACAGCATGCGTATAGTGCACAACAGCATCCACCACATCCTCTATCCCCGTGTCCTTGCATATCTTGCATGCTACGTATATTTAAGCAGCGGCCTGCATTGGTTTGCTGAACTCAGAGAGCCCAATACCCCTTAATTTACCCTCAATTAAGGAATATACCTTAAATCATAATATTAAGGCCCCTATAATTTAAGGTATATTCCTTAATTAAGGGGTATTGGGCTCCTTGGGAACTCTTAACAAACCACGGCCCGAGCCATCCCTGGCTCGGATTCCAGGGGTTCTTTTCCTCTGCCGCTGTCAGGATCCGGAACACTCCGCAGGTTGCAACGATGTCCGACGCGCGACAGTTACAGCAACTCATCCAGAATTGACAGCACTTCCAAGAATTTTTGGGCCATTCATCTTCCGGCTGGGAGGTTCGCGGCTGCTACTGTAGTATGCCATTTACCGCCTAGACGTGCATAGATGTAGCTGAACCCAAACCGAAGAACACGAAGCCCAAAGCACGAACCGCGGCAACCACTGATACTTCGGAAGGAAATATGCAGAAATGAATAGAGAAGCAAGCCCGTAAATCAACACACACATGGATGTATATGCATGAATGTGTTAGTTTGCTTGTTTGCGTAAATATTCGGTACAGGCTTCCTACGCACATGGGGCCACGGGACAGTGCAGTGTCGCATAACTTCTCAGAATGATTTGCTTTTCCTGGTTGGCTGATACTATAATAATAATAATTATTATTACTATTATTATTATTAGTAGTAATAGTAATAGTAGTAGTAGTAGTAGTACTACTACTATTATTATTATTATGATTATTATTACTATTATTATTATTATTGTTTTTTTTTTTGAGGTTGGTGAGCTTCGGCCCGAGCAGACGATTTGGCTGCGACTTTGGGCAGTGAACCAGGCAAGCCGGGCTCAAGGATTCAGGCTTAGGGTTTAGGGTTTAGGGCCTAGGGTTTAGGGGTTTAGGGTTTAGGGGTTTAGGGCCTAGGGTTTAGGGGTTTAGGGTTTAGGGGTTTAGGGTTTAGGGTTTATAATAGGGCTCAAGTATTCAGGCTTTATTTCGGGTTTAGGGTTTAGGGCTCAAGTATTCAGGCTTTATTTAGGGATGGCCGGGCGAGCTCAGGGGTTTAGGGAAACGGGCTCAAGTATTCAGGATTTTCAAAGGGCAGAAGGTTTGGAATTCAGGCTGCTGGGCTTTCGGGTTTAGCAAAAAATGATAGTATGGGCTGTTTGGGAGATAGGGGTCCTTAAAGTGAGTCTTATCTTTATAGATTTAGGGTCTGCAATGTTTTTCCTTGTCTTCAATACTGAAACGCCTACATTGGCATCAGCGGGTTTGGCTCAGGCTCTGCCGTTGTGGGGGTATTGCAGTGTCGGCCTTTCTGCCGACAGAGGTTCCATCCAGCATTTGCCGTCTCCTTTCTGTCCCATCCATCAGCCCTGTAAGCACTGAACCTAGGCTCAATCACCCTGTAAAAACCTGCATTCCCGAAACCCGAAACCCTCTGAGCCCTACAACTGCATTGCAAGAACAAGCAAGATGTATGAACCCTCGACCCAATTCATTCTTATCCACCCTGCCCTGCGGGCTTGTCCTTGCGAAGTAAGAGAGGAACGAACACTTCATCCTATATTCCCTGCGCCTGAAGCGTTTGTATGGCAAGACATCAAGGCCGGCCGTTCCCGTGAGCCATCGCAGCCTCTGGCGTGCCGACCCTCAGACAGGCAGGGGCCTACAGTGTTTTCCCAAAAAGGAAGAAGCTCGACTAGGGTATTACGGTTCTGTAGGGTTTGGCATTCTGTGGGGCTTTCAATTAAGTGCTTGTGGAAACATGCTATCAATGTGCACGGCATCAAGGACATGCAAAGAAGCATGAGATGCTGTACACCTGCATTTCCACCGGTATTTTAGCTTTTCTTTCAGCATGGCGATCCCATGGCTTTGTGCGCCAAGCAGAGGCCGCAAAAAGTGGACGACCTCTGCTGCATCGTCCGCGGGGCCACATGGCTGGAGGCCCTATGGATGTTTGGCCGCCGAGCCACCGGATGTTTGGCCGCCGAGCCACCGTCGGCCAAAGGTCGTGACACGTAGTGCTCAAAGTTCACATGATAACCGTGCTGACATTTCGTGCAATTTGCAACATTGCGACTGTTTGCGCAACGGCCGAGCCAAGCTGTTGCTGCAGGTGCAGTGGCGAACACGGGATCCCGACGGCGCGCCGGTCACAGAGTGCAGCGTCGAGGCGGGTTTAGCAGAGAAGCCGGTCACCTCTTTGTACCAACCACGCGCTTCAAGCAGCCGTCGTCTTCTTGCCGCACCAAATTCTTGTCAGCATGTCCGCAGGTGAGTCGTGAGAACCTTCTCAGCAACTGGATACAGCTTCCTCGCAATGGCGTGTGGCGTTGTGGCCAGGGAAGGAGCACCTGGAATGCATCGGAACTTGTCGCCTTGCCTTTGCCATGAATGTCCCGTAGTGATGCCCAAGTGCTAGGCGAGGCTCCAGCTGGGAACGACCAGGATGGTAGCATTCAAGCATGGCTCTTTCTGTGCCCACATGTCCAGGTCGGGTTTATTTCCGTAAAGGCTCCTGTCCTGCTTTCGGGGTTACAGACTATAAGCAGGGTGTCGGTACCACTCGTGGTGAGTGTCGTGAGCAATCCTCGAGTTTGACGATAGTCGCTCTGATGATCTCAGATGCACGCTCCAGAGCTGATGTTGTTTTCCTCAGCTGCTTTATTTACCTGATGCCCCTGAAGTGTCTCAGACGTTCAGACTGCTATTTCTGGCTTGTCTTCCTTCTGTAATGTTAGTCAGCTCCTCCGCAGTTTAAAGCCGTTTAGCTTGTAGCAGAAGTCTTTGTATCGCCGCCCCATACATTTCCCGCCCATTGTGGAGACCCACCCATGTCACCCTTAAGGCAATGCCCTTAAAGTAATCCCTATTTGGGTGCTTGGGGCCCAAAGCATATACTATTTGGGTACATGAACCCTAAGGCCCTAAGTTTTGTCCCGCCGGAAAGCTTTCGGGGGCGGAGTCCTTGAGTTCAAGCTCATGGCTCCAGAGGCTTCCAGGCCGAAGGTCTTCCAAGCTTCTTCGACTCGGGAGGCCCTAGGCTTTAGGGCAGTTTAGGGGTTTAGGGGTTGAAAAATTAGTGCCTTGCAGTCCCTGCTCAAAAAAGGGGTTTAAACATATACATAGGGGTCTAGGGGTTTACAGAAATCTTCCTGAAGCCTTTGCCCTGGAGGCTTCCATTCCTTTGCAAGACTTGGGCTGTATACTACCGACATTTCACACATGCTGCATGGATGACTCAACGCATCACCCGAAATGGCCCCAGCGATTCAAAGCCCCATTGAACGCTGGAGAGGTGGTTACTCGGCGCTCCTTCGTCCAAATCGCTTTTCAACCACTGTGCAAGCAATGTCTGCTCACAGTGATTAAAAAAAGCGGTCGAACGAAACCTTTTGCGGTGCTGACGTCCAAAAGCGGGCGGCCTCACATGCTGTTACTTACTGATTGGATTTGGTTACTCGGATAATTGTGAGTACTCTTTCCGTAGCGGTACGTGACCGCTGCTTTCTGAGGCACTTGGCGTGCTCGGGCCGCCGGCCTTTCCACCGAGACCGACTTCCGTGCGACCTGGGCGCATGTTGGAGGTTGATTTGCAGAGACAATTCGGGATAGCACGTGTATTCTGTGGATGTGCCTATCTGTAAATCTGTCTGTCTATCATAAGACACACAGACAGGCAGAGCGAGCGACCGAGCGAGCGACCGCCTGACCAATCGACAGACAGAGACAGACAGACAGACAGACAGAGCAGAGAGATTGATACAGACAGAGACAGACAGAGACAAACAGACAGACACGCACGCATACATTTTCACATACATACACATGTGTTTACATCGAACTATACTATCTACATATCCGGACATCTATCGATCTACATGACCAAACATATCCGCGTTATGATACATGTATCTAAATATATAACGCTATGCTTAAAGCACTATGTGCATTGTGACATTGCAGTACGGGCGTGAGGGAGAGATGTTGGCCCGGAGACCGAGAGAGGAAGGAAGATGCCTTGTGGTGCATTTGTTGGGCTTCAGTGCTGGTTGGAAAGGTCCACTTCGGGTGTAGTGCAGGTAGTAGGCTTTGAATTCCGCCCGCAAGGTGCGAGTTCGCGCGAAAAACGGGGTCGGCTGGTCCTCTGCAGATGCTCAGATCAGCTGCCGAACGGCGGAGCGGCCTTTGAAGCCCAGGCAGCTGCAGTGCGTTGAAGCAGGAAGCTTGTCAAAAGAGCTGGCTGCTGGTTTTTGTCAAGTCATTCCGGCATCGAGGATGCTAGCTGCTAGTTAGTTAATTATAGTACATGATAGTAGGGTAGTACATGTGAATGTGTGACGTGGCTGGGGCATTGGCAATGAATTGGCATCGTTACCTTTCTTGCTTTGGTTGAAGCTATCCTTCGTGTGGGATGTTCTGTCCAGCTAAGTGCTTGCAAAACTGAAGGAAGAAGCCACGTGCGGATCGAATTCAGGGTCCCTCTCAATTATGGGCAAGAGGAGCACATCAGCGAAGTGCGTGTGGAGCAAGCTGGAATGTTGGTTTGGACTGAGCTTCCATCCCAGTCTCTGGAATTCGAGTGCCTAGACAAGGTTGACAGCTACTCGACCGAGCCAACTGCTGAAGATATTGATCTTGGCCCGTTCTGGAACGCAGAACTCAAGCTAAGGGCTTTTGCAGTGGTTGTTCGTGGCTTGGAACCGAACTGCCATTATACTTTGCGCTTGGATGTTGCCAACGAAGTTGGCTGGAGCCGTTTTAAATCAGATCCGTTCTCCTGCCACACCGTGTGCCGGCCACATGTTCCCAAGCTGCGGGAGGGGCCGCACAGTGTGCCTTACGAGCTGCGAGTGTCTTGGGATCAGAGAGACCCATTGGGTGGTGCTGTCCTGGAGTGGGAAGCACAGATTTGTGAGTCCTCTCTTTTTACCTTGTTCTCCAGCTGGACAGCTGCGAAGGATTTCCTGATTCTACGCCAGCCAACGCTGCATGACATGGTCTGTGAAGATGAGGAGCTCGCCATTAACACAACCTGGGAAGCTAGCTTCGGGTGCTTAAAACCTGCCGTGGAATATGTCATGCGATTGCGCACAGGCAATATTGCAGGCTGGTCTGAATGGTCGGAGCCCTTGCAGGCTGTCACAGCATGTCCACCAAGCATCTCTAGATGCTCGTTGGTGCAAGTCCCTGCCAATATGCCTGGGAGTCAACCAGACTGGATTGTGGACATTCTGGTGGATGAGCGTGGCTCGCGTGCGTTCCTCTGCGCGGTGGACTTCAGCTGTACACTACGTGATGCTACCTTCGTCGATGCGAAGAGCACGCTGAGCAGCAGCACCGTGGCCAGGCACATCATTAATGGCAGCTGGAGAGCGCGCTTTCCCGGAAATCTACTTCCAGCTGGTAGCCAAAAGGTGTCGGTCAGTGCAACTGCCGCCAACGATGCCGGTTGGAGTGCCAGTGTTCGCAAATCGTCAGAGGACACAGATGGGCAAACCAAGACCTTGAGCTGGGACATGCCATCCTCTTCAACATCGCCTAGTGCCCTACCTGCCGTGGCCGAACTTGGTCACAGTTTGAAGGCGTTCCTGGCGATGATGGAAGAGAAGCTATGTGACATGGCCAGCACCATGCAAGCATCACACCAGCGAATGCACCACCCGTGCTTGAACTGTGCGCAGCACATGCAAAGTAACAGTAGCATATGATGCAGACGACTTCTGTGGTGCGCATCTCTTGTGAAAGGTGATGCTCGGAAAGAGATGTCATCATTCAGCTCAGCCACTTCTACAGTTCCTAGCAGGTGGACGACTGAGCAGTTACAGCGGCTGTCTCACCGAGCAGAGCGGATCGACTTGGCATTGGAGACTCTCAGAAGCTCGGAATGCAAGATGCTGATTATCTTACTTATATATATATACACATACACATACATACACATACTATTTCTGACATTCCTAGCCTGATGGTGAACTACCATTGCGGTTGTTGCGAAATTTACTGTTTCTCATATGGTCGCAACAACCCAAGGCTCAACATGATGACGTTTACCTGCGCCTGTTGCTGCTGCTTGTACACGTGTGAATGTGCAGGTTCGCCACCACCGCCACCACCAGCAGCAGCACCAGCACCACCACCATAGTTGTCGTCACCACCAGCAGCGATATCCACGGATAGAAGAGGATGACGTCGGGGAGGTACCGAAACCCGAAAACCCCAAACCCAAAACTACTCCAGACCTTAAGCCCCTGAACCCCGAGACCCTAAATCCTAAATCTCGCAACCCTAAANNCTGCTGCTACTGCTGCTCCTGCTGCTGCTGCTGCTGCCGCTGCTTCTGCTGCTCCTACTCCTACTCCTAGTCCTGCTAGGAATCAGGAAGCCCCTGCTCTTCTCTTCGATCCGAGGAAGCTTGCAGGCGGCCCGGGGAAAGCCCGAGAGGTGCGAGAGCTGGTTGGCCTCGTGTGGCGAAAGGCTTGCATACAAAAATCAGGTTATAGACAAAGAGAGGGCAGCTGCAAAGGTGCGTGTCATTCACCATATGCCGCTCTGGGAAGACTTTTCGCAAGACGGCTGCGCGACAGCAGGTCTACTCAAAGACTTCGAGTTGTTGCTTGAAGGTTGCATGTGGCTAGAGCACGTGCGGAACATGCAGTTGGATCCTTTGTGGACTCGATTGTGTCATATGTCCGGTGATGGCAAGCAGAGTCAGACAGTGGAGTCTGCTGGGCAGCACCCAGCTCGAGTAGTTCGACTCTGGGCAGAAAAGAGGGAAGCTTGGGCCGGAAGGTTTGATGCTCAGCTCGTGAGCGTCACCAAGCAGGCTCTCACCACGGCGGGGCAGCTGCTGGCGACTGCACGAAGCTTACCTACTGATGCAGTACGCACAACCGGCTTCCTTCGATCGGCCCTGGTTCGGACGAACAAAACAGAACACCTACCGGATGTCCACACAAATACCGGCCTAGCCTGCCTTGAACTTTCATTTTGCACACAGCTTCGTGAGCAGACGCTGCTGGGCTTGACTGCTCTGAAAAATCTGCGGACAAGCGCAGATCAGCAGTTCCGCAAGCTCAATCGAGCCCTGCAGCTCTTGGCCGTCGCCTCAACACACACGGAGCACGACGGCGCGGGTGCTCCAGAGGGAGGTGCTCACAGCTTTCCAGAGGTGAGTGTGACGGACAAACTTTCTCAAACAGCTTTGGGCCTGATTCTCACGATGGTGATGCCTGTGCCGGGCACAGTGGAACTGGGCGTGGTCTCCATCGGTGCATTGTGGCTGCAGGGGGATTCTGCCGGGAAGCACCTGGTAGTAGAGCACTCTCCCGGCCCGGACTTCGACCCGTTTGGCCGCTTTCAGCAGCAGCCAAGACCGAGCGCACTGAAACTCCTTGCCAACTGGACGCAGGAGCCGCAGGATTTGCTGGATGCTGCAAGCGCGCAGACTAGCGATGCTCCGCCAAGCTCCAGCGAAAGCGTGCCCGCAACTGCATCAAGCGCGCAGCTGCAGCCAGGGACGGTCTTGGTGCACAATGCCGCATCGAGAATGATCACAGCGCCTCGTTGGAGATTTAAGCAGCGCTGAAGTGCATGACGGAACGCTGCAAGCCTTATATCGACACCTGGCTTCTGCTTAGCCACTTCCCCCAACATAGACAGAACCCCTGCAGGTGAGAGTCCTCGATCAAGGCCGGGGGGCTCCGTCCAAAAACAAGGTGAAGGAGAGCCTGGGCTCGGCGAGAGAGCTTCTTCCCAGAGAGCCCAATACCCCTCAATTAAGGAACATACCTTAAATCATATTATTAAGGCCCCCATAATTTAAGGTATCTTCCTTAATTAAGGGGTATTGGGCTCTCTGGGTTTTGTTGCCGGAAAGGTCGAAACATTGCCGTGTGGGCATACGAGAAGGTGCAAGATGCTTGACCGCAGTCGCAGGGGTGATTTTCATCTAGAAGGGGCTGGACGCAGGATTCAGGAGTGCGGGCCCTTACTGTGAGGTGAGAGGGATTGCAAAGGCCCTCCATGTGTGAGGGCAGTGGGTGAGATCTTTTCCACTGCCAAGGAGGCGCATCCGATGGTTCGGCTGGTGTCACAAGCTGCTAGGTGGCACTTCGGCACACTTCTTGATTTCACTGAGGGTTCTGCAGAGGTACCTTGGAGCAATTCCGCGATCGCTTGAATTGCAACCCAGGCTGTTGTTCGTGGCTTCGGAGCTGTTGCTGGCAACACCTGGCAGGCCGGGGGCCTCGCGGTGCTCAAACGGTAATTCGCAATAGGATTCCATTCTACCCCCCCAAACCGGTTCAGATTATTGAGATCCCTGCACTAAGCAGTTTTCGGGCGCTGTCTTCGTAGGCGGATTCCGTCGAAGTGGCCGTGGCTGTTCCTCCTGCAGATGTGGCGATTGTGCCACTGCCAAGCATGGAGGAGACTGCAGCGGAACATAAACGGGTTTCGCATGCACCTGACTATGATCAGTCTGGTTAGAACAGCAAAACTGACATAAGCTCGAGGTTGGAGGGGGAGGTATTGCTTCAGAGCCCTACTTCTTAACTGCTGGGCCAGTGGGCGGGTGAGAAAAACTGCTGTGCCAGTAAAAGGGAGCGTTTGCTGGCAGCCTGACACGAACCAGGACTCTTCCTTTGAGTTGGAGTTCACCTATGGATTTGGTGGTGAAAGACCACTCGGACGGGTTCCAGCAAGAGCCGGCATGGCAGTCGCTCGCCAGGCTTCAGGATCTAATCTACTCTGTGGCCGCCTCGATCAGCTTGACATCATCTGTAGCCGTCGAGATTTTGGTGGCTGCAACTTTGAAACATGCGCACACTGCCAACACTAATGTTCATGAGGTCAGCTTCGTTTGCCTGGACGATGAGATCCACATTGACAACATTGACCAGGTGGAGCCTACCACTGCGACTGGCAAACATTCAGATGAGCAGGCATCGGCCGAAACCCGGCATAGCATTCAGGCATGATGTGGTTGTCTGCTGACTGCTTGTAAGACTGTGCGTAAGCAAAATGCAAGAGATGAAGACCTGAACGGTTCTCATGAGTACAAGTATAAGTAGGACTTACACCAATCCAGCAGATATCATATCCGGCACCGAAATAATCCAGAACCAATGATTTGCCAAGGAACCTCATGAGGAGCATGCAGTGGATGGGGCCTGTCCCGAGCCTCAGCCACAGCAGCATGCAAGCTCCGACGATGCTGGTGCTGTTGCTGCAACAGATGGGGATGATGGAAAGGATGCCCCGCCGGCCGGAACCCGAGACCTTTGGCTGTGAGAAGCCTTGCCTTCAATTTTTAAGGGCATCTTTTCCCAGCTGATTGGCAGAGTCTGGGTTCAAAAAAAAGGGTATCTACACTGGGAACCTCGAGCATTCCTGCAGTAGCTCTGCACTCAAGGAAGAGCCAGCTGCTCCCAATGTGGCGTCACCTGTCGCCGCTCCATCCCGGGTCCGCGTGTCCACGATCCGTGCGTCCAACAAGGATGCGGTGGCTCAGCAGAAACATGGAAAGCCCCATAATGTCGGAAACAGGCCGGATCCGTGCAATACTTTACAGGCTAGCAGCACAGCTGACGAGGAATAGCAGCAGCACGTTATCGAGGAGCAGCGGCAGCACTTGTCGACAGCAGTTTATCAGGCTTTACTCGCAATGACTGGGATTGCATGAAGCATCAGTGCTAGCGTAGGAAGAGAGACAGAGGAGCGAGCCAGAGCAGTGTTCTTGTTGACCCGGCTTAGAAGATCATGGATTATCCAAGATACACCGCAAAGTTATACTGCACACTGCATCTGAGAACTATCGCCGTGCAGAGCACGGTCCCTCTCTTAGGTCGAGGTCACCCTGCGCTTTTTCCACCTGGGATCTGGAGTTGGTGGAAGCCCCTTGGCATGCCCTGGACTCTCGCGCTTACCGGTTCTAGGTGAGAGTCAAAGTGGAAAGGCGGAAACACTGAATTTATGAATTCATGCTCTATGCCTTGCCTGGCTGTGACAGACAGACCTTACCTGTGCAAACAGTTGGGATTCGGTCCAGCGCTAATGGTTCCAGCAGCAAACTTCGGCTAGTTGAATCGTTAGGATCATGTCCCGCATGCTGTCAAACACATATTCCAGCCAAGGTGCTACGTCACTCGGTGGCACCCAGATCCCCTAAGCCCTTAGCCCCGCACAACATAAATTAAGGCGGGAAGCAACAATAAAGCAACTTCTGGTCTTGGAGCGGGCTGGGTTTGGCAGACGAAGCCGTCAGCCTAAACCGATAGAACAACGAGAAAATAGTGCCTCAGAAAAAGCACTGGCGACGATAATCGTGATCGTAGTATACTATTACACTACAGTGGTATGGTATGCAGACAGGCCAAGACTATCAGACTATCATTATCAAAAATGAAGATGCGGCTCAATGTGCAAAATCCGTTCAGGTATTTCTGGAAAATGTGTCGGTAGCGTACTGGGCTGTCACATCCATAAAGCATGGCTGATGTACTGAACCTTTCATAAAAGTTTCAGTTAAAGACTTTTAACAGATTTTTGGACTGATGTTCGTCTAGTAGTGTATTTTGGGGTTGGTCGGTTGGTGAATACTCGTGGTCGGCCCCCTAGCTCACTCAGGCCCTGGCGCAAGTGCCACAAACACACGCACACGCACACACACACACACAAGTCAAGAAGTAGCATCGAGGTATCGACACAAGACAACCGTGAATCCCGACCCCCCCCCTGAGACTAAGAGCCAACACTCTAACCCCTCGACCACGACCCACCTTGAAACCCGACCGCCCCTTCCCCTAAGTCCCAAACGTGCAAGTACAAGGATTTGGTGAGCGCGTGTAGGTGGGAGTGGGGTGCTTAAGTTATCTTAAGTTTAAGTTCAAGTGTCGGTCCGGGGTGGGGCGGCATGCGACATTCGCCGCTCAGCTTTGCCTGTAGAGCGAGTGGCCGCTGAAGGGTGACTAGACTGTAGCAATTGTCGGTGTAGGGTGGGGCGGCATGCGACATTCGCCGCTGAGATGCAGAGCGACTAGACTTTTAGTTACTATAGGGTGACTAGCGGCAAGACAGAATTCGCCGGCTTTATTTTTAGTTAATCATACGTTCGTATGCTGGGATTTTGTACTATTTAGGGTGAATCAAGTGATTGTAGTAACTATGACTCCAGAGGTATGTAAGTTACCGGGGTCCATCAGGGAACGGCTTCTGCGTAATCTTTTCCGGGATGCTCTAGACGATACAACGAAGCAACCCGAAAGCTCCAATATGTCCGAATGCCATAATATGTTGCATCAAAGTTTATATAGTACCAACTGACATGCGACAGTATTCGTAAGTATACATTAGACTAGAAATATAGCACAATAAACTGTAAAGTCGAAGAAGCCCTAACACCCCACCGTTAATCAACAAGGCATCATTTCGGGCGCTTCTTCCGAAAGCCGGTCGTGGTAGTCACAGTCGGCCCGGGAGAGATGAGCCACAGCTGCATTCAGAAGAAACACATGTTACAAAATATTGTAATTATAATTATAATTTGTATAATATATTGGGTCTGTGGATTTTGCCATGCGGGAGCCAAAATATGTTTTTTTATTGTACTATGTTATGTTGTAAGCTCGGGGATTGCACAAGGGTTGCTACATAAGGGCTCAGCTGTCCAAGTTTGTGTTTAGGGGCTCAGGGTTCAAGCGCGTTGGAGACTAGGTTGCAGGCTTCTGGGATTCCATTTCCGAGATTTGCTGAAGCCTGGTCTGATTAACTTAACGTCAAGTTTCAGGCCAGCATGTGAATGCGCGAAGCACTTGCGCCGCAAAATAGTCAACGGGAGCCTCGGAATACTTCAGGTTGAAATTGGGTGTGCATGACCTCTCTCCACTAACCAAGGCGCACAATTCGGCTCGAGGTGAGGCACGAGGCGCATGGGCCGAATGGGCGGCTTCATGACAGGAGCCAAGGCCGGGGAAGCTTGAGCTTCAGGGTTTAGGGCTCAGGGTAAGTTTTCTGATGTTTGCTTTTGACATAGAGCAATAGTCCGGGCAAGAAGAGGTCTGATGCCGGCAGCAGAGCCTGAATCTTAAAACGGAGTATAAAGGACTCTTATGATCGGGACTTCAGACAAATCCTCAAGTTGCAAAGGTCGGCTCTGGCCGATCCAGATAACGAGCAAAGCTAATGAGAAGCCGCTTTTTTGAATGCGGAGGGGCATCTCAGACAATGGCTGTGCATGCTGGATGCTCTAAAGCGTGCTCTGAGCCCAAAACACACTTACGTACATCTTGCCGGGCAGTTGTTGGAGGCGGGACCTAGGGCAGCATCCGCGTGTTTAGTAGTGTGCTTGTTGAATTAACTGTCTCTGGTATGCCTTGCATACTTCGTGCAGCCTGTCTGCATGTCCTGACACTACGCCTTTGCCCCTGCTGCAAAGCCATGCTGATTTTGCATGTTGTTTGTTCTCCCTGGATTATGTCGGGTAGAAGCCGAGGGATCACTGCTGCTGAGGTGAAGATACATCTACTTGTTACCTCGCGAATAAGTGGCAGTCTTGAAACGACGGCCAAACATGTTCGGACCAATCGTCAAGATCCTACCGTAGATATGTACATATGCAACTGTGCATGTATGTGTCAACACGCACACACCCTTTTAACAATAAGCATGACATCTTTTATATTCTAGGATAGAACAGAATATATGGTATATGATAGAATGTCATATACCTTACTATAGTATAGCACGGCATAATGTAATATAATTCAATACCAGATCAGGTCATCAAATGCTATCTGATATGATGGAGCATACTGATCGAAAAAACAAGGGTGACAGGGTGCACACAGTGCATCATATGCTGTAATGGTCTATAATCGTTAGTGTAATATACCGTAAAGCATGTATTATAGCATGTACATGTACATATATATAAATATATATATGTGTGTGTGTGTTCTAAATAGTGTTATGTTTTTTTTGTTTTTCTCTCTCTCTCTCTGTATATATATACATATTATATACATATATATATACAACACTTGTTTTATACACTCCTTATATTTCTACATTCCACGCAACTTGTTCTTTTAATGTGTTATTCCTTATTTATTCTGTCATACTATATTATCTTATCTTCCATTGTATGATCTTGTGTTGTTATCTCGCCCTATATCTTATACTAAGATATTACGCATAGAATTGTTATGAATTGCATCCTTCTGCCTCATACAACTCTTTAACCTGTACTGTATTGTATACTGCACTACATTATGCCATATATGCCATATTAGATTATACAATATTGCATTTTACCGCCTGTACCGTACTATACTCTGTCATATGCAGGCATATAATGTTTATTTGTGCTCTGGCATATGTGATATGGGAAATGATATGTCATGCAATGAACACCCGGCTCCAGGCCCCGACGCATCCGGCAGCTCGGATGATTCGGATAGCCACGGAGCCACGGCCTGCAGCTTTCAATCGGTTTGTGTTGTAGTATAGTATAACACAAATTTGGAAACGTACAGTAGCATAGTGCCAGTCACGACAACAGCAGTATAGTGCCAGTCACGATAACAGCAATATGAGATACATTTAAGGACCATATATATATATACACACATACAAATGGTATACTATGATATAGCACAATGTGTTGTAGCATAATGGGTATAGAGTCTAGAGAATCCCCTACCTCTGGAAAAAGAGTAGATCTTGGCCAAGCTGCACACTGCACTCTGCCTTTCAGAACCTCGGAAGGCGTGGCACAAGGGTTGACGCATCTGAAAGAGAGCAACAACAGAGACAACAGATTGAACATATCAAAGAAGGTTGAACAAGAGCGATGAAAGGAATACCCTTCATAAAGTTTTCGATTTTTGTGCATAATGCGAACAAATGACCTCGGTCACAGACCACACACCCAAGGCGACCTCTTCGAAGTCGTTGCTGAAACTGCAGCGAGCAGTAGCGAACCTCGACTGAACTAGCAGTTTAAGCACCCGTCCGTGCTTCTTGTTTTGGGACGTGTAGGGGACAATGATTTGATATGCTCCCTTGGATCTCCAAGGTGTGCAACGTCCGCGACCTTCAGTTTATCTCGTACGAGGGAGGTCTTTAAGACGAGCTTCTCCTCAGGGAGGCTCGGTCCTCGCGATTGGACTTTGGAATCCTCTGCGAGCTTCGATTTATGTAAATGCGATCGGCAGCCGACTGAGCTGGTTTTATTGTCTCACAGGTTCGGCCGAGCATAAGTAAGATACAGTCAGCAGGCAAAGCCAGAGAGAGCTCAGTCGTCTGCCCGTGCCAGACAGCTGGCCAAAGTGTGTTTCGTCGTATCCACACGCACCTCCGGAAGCAAGTGAGGAGCAAAGCAGAACATGAGCTTCATGGAGTCAAAGATGTCAGGGTGTCCGCATATCTTAGCTGGCCTACGCTTCTCCGATGCTTCCATCGGAGCTTTCTTGGGTTGCTCTCAGGCCTTGGGCCGGTGGCTGCCATCCTGTTAATCGCCTGGGCCCTGGCATGTGATGATGCTGACCGGGCCAAAAAAACGCTGCTGCTGCGACTACTGGTCTTCCTCCCGCTCCCTCCGTCTCCGCATCCTCTGTGTACTCCCACGGAATGAAGCAGCTGCTGCTGCCACCACCTCCTTGACGACCCGTAGATACCAGTGTATTGTTTCCGGCGAGGGGAACATGAGTTACCCGTAGCGCCGTAGTACCTAGTTATCCGTCTTCCACTTGCTCGCTTCGGCAGCCCTGCACTTTACTTGCTGCTCAGGATTTTCATCATGCTCTGGGCCGTGTTGTTGAGCTCGGCCCTGAGACGCAGCTGAACTCCAACTCGAGGGCTGGAGAAAGCATAGTCACTTGCTCTCCCGAATTCACAAGCCCCTTGAGTGGTGTGTAACTCATGGACAGCTGTAGCCGTAGCAAAGTGCATGACTACATGCGATAAACTTCAGCGTATGAGGGATGCTTGTGATGCTTGCAAGCCAGCCGAAAGCTATTCGTCGAAAGTCAAGGTGGGCCCACCCACCGTCCGTGCAATCCTCAGCTTATTCTGTGTGCTTTCATCAGCGGGATGTCGGTGGTCACGATCCGTCTTTCGCATGTGTGCGGCCGCCGAGATCACGGAGGGAGAAGCTGCCGCAGGCCCTGCGGAACTGGGTTCCCCGAAACTTTCGGGCCAGGCCCCAAAACCTCCGCCCACCAGGCTCAAAGTTTAAGACATGGTAAAGTCTCTCCAGCATGCAGAAGAGGAGCTCGGGGTTGTACAGTACTCCTCGAGTTGTGGTGAAAGGGGGCTTAGATGTAGCAACATGGGGCCATGGCTTTGGGTGCCTGTGTTAGGTATCGGTATAGGGTCGAGTGTAAGTCGGAGGCCGGGCTTGCGTCGAAGCAGCTCTCACCATACTGAGCCAGGTTTAAGGTTTAGGTTTTGGGGTGTCCATGTGCTCCAACAAGCCTGTGGGTAAAAAGGGTGTCCATCCGCTGGGAAGGACACTTGCCACCGACGGATGCTGCGCAGGAGCATGGGCCAATGGCTTGATACAGAGCGAGAGACTTTTTGGGGATTGACAGAGGAGCCTTATAGTATACTAATTATGATATTGTTATGATTCATTACGATTTGTCCTAGCGGTCGTGGCATAATCCTAGCACGTTAATTCTGGAACTGTTCGGCTGTATCTGCTTTTTTCCGAGAAAGGCTACACTTCAGTGGCTGAATGACTCCTAACAGTGCTTCGTCGCGCCATGTTCCTCCACAATGCCTACACCATCCAGCCTTGATGCTATCTGAGCCCTGACTCCAGCACCCCAAGCTTTACGAACTTTATTATTAATATTATTATTATTATTATTCTTATTATTATTATTCTCAGTATTATTATTCTCAGTATTATTATTATTGCTATTGCTATTATTATTATTATTCTTGTTATTATGATTATTAAGCCCTACCTTGGAAGGACTTTCCGCTGCTGGACAGCTGGCACTCAAAAACTGCGGAGCCGGCTGGAGCAGTGGCACGAGCAGGATTCCGAGACCCTACCTATAGTCTCCATTGTAGCTCCTTTTTGGGGCTACCTTGTAGGATCCTTTATATAGAATCGGTTTAACCAAAAAAAGGAACTACAATGGAGACTATAGGTATGAGCTAGGACTTCGGAATGTAGGATTTGCGAGGCTTTTAGTTTAGGTCTCTGGCGCTTAGTTAGGGGTGCTGGAGTTCCGAGTGGTGTCTTTGGTTTTCAAGGAACTCATTGCCTGGAAGTTCAATCATGTTTGGGTTGAGCGATATGTGCTGAAGGATGAGCTCTGATGGATTCTGGATCCTGGACTCTTTTCTACACGTGACCGGCCTGTCCTCTGAATTCAGATCTCAAGCCGGGCATGAGGACTGCAATTTGGCTCCAGGAGTACCTATCGTCTCCTTGTAGTTTCTTTTCTTGGTTTATCCGAGTCTATATTTTTTAGGATCCTATAACATAAAACCCTCCACGCACCATGAACGTCGCCAGGATTGTCCGAGTTGTGAAAGCATAAACCCCTAAACTCAAGTCTTGGCTCAAATGTCATATGTCTGAAAGCCGGAACGCTGCGACAGAGAATGTCCCTCCCGCCCACGTGGAATGCTGGTGGCTGGCCCCAACAGCAGATGGCAACGTATGGAAGGCTCGGAGCGCCTGCAACGCACAGCATGATGGGCGCCAACCTTTGGCCTGCAACGGCCAATCTGGCCCCTACGATGCTCTTGGCTCCCTCTTCGCCAACCTCACAAGGTGAACAGGAGTCCACGCAAGAGTCTGCCGCTGAGCCGTGTTGCGTGAATGAGGCCCGGGAGGGCGACGAAGGCATTGGAGAATACGTGTATTGGGGCTACGACCTCAAGCCCGCAATGCCGCCCGCGCTGGGCGTGTCCGTGGTGTTGGGGGCAATCTGCAGCGCGATTGTGCAGATTCCACTGCTGTGTCGCTTGCAGTCCTGGCCCAGGCCGAGGTTCCTTTGATAGCCTTGGAAGTTGGGCTCGCTGCCGTCACCGTGGTGTTGATGGGGTACTGCTCTTTGGCAGACCCCGGGCAACTCAAGAAAACGCGCAATATCGCGCTAGACGGGACCGCCCATTCCGAGCACATAAGTCCTGGCAATACCGTCGGAAGGTCCGACGGTATGACCATTAATTGTAAATGGGTCAACAACGTCATCGGTCTTCTCAACCACCGTGAATTCGTTCTCATGTTGGTCGGCCTTTGTCTGATTGGTCTGTTTGGGGTGGTATTGGATGGCTATCTTGCTTTCTTCCTAGCAGAGAAGGGCCTTGGGGAAGCCGAGATAGCGGTGGCATTGCATCTTGCATTCTCGGTGGGCCTCTTGGCCATTGAAGTGCCCATCTTCAAGATATACATCGGTCTGGTCTCCAGGAATGAGTTGGGACAAGAATGGAAAAACAATTTGAACTACGTGGCCAACCAGACTTCCATGGGAGACGGGATACCGGTAGAGGAGCTGGATGACGAAGAGTATAACCATCTCTTCGACGAGAAAGCGTTCGTTTATGACAAGTCCAGGAACCGCTGGGACCAGGGTTTCTCCATCAATTGCTGGAACTTTTGGTGCTGGTCTCGCTGACCAGCTGGTGAACTCGGCGAGTTCTGAGTCACAACTTACTCCCTTACTACCGTCAGTTACGGTGAAACAATCATGATTGTTTCACCGGAACTGACGGTAGTAAGGGAGTAAGGGGCCGTGCGGGGCTGCAATGTCTCCCGGACGGTCCCAGGGCAGTGTAACTACTTCTAATGTCATGCCATGCTATACCTACGAAACTTACTCGGTTTAGAGATTGGACCCTAGAGGTGGCGCAGAAGAGTCAAACTGGTGCGGCAAAACTAGTTGCCAGCACTAGTTTCAAATCCAAGATTGTGGGCAGGCGTTGCGGTGCCGCTCAAGGAACTGCAGCTCTTTGCCTCAACCTGCACGATCACGAAAGATCACGAAAGCTAGCTTTGTGGAGCTTGGGTGATGGGAATTTGCAAATGATGGGTAGGAGGTATCGATGCAGTGCATGGAACTTGCTGCGAAACAGCTCTTGGTTCGGCGATGTGGTGATTTTTTTAGGTGGAGTGACGTCGTGAGCAGTCCCCTGAGAACTCCGGGTCGCTTGTTACGTTTTAGTGTTGGTTATTGATGACTTATATTCCTCGTTGTTTGGGGCATCTGCTGTAGCCTGTAACCTACCAAGCTTCCAGTGGAGAGCAGAGCAGTGTCTTTGCTGTGCATCTGGTAGCCGCGAGCAGTCGGGTGTTTGGTGGGTGCATGGTCTTAGATTGGTTAGTGTGGGTTTTTCGTCCGAATCTGTTGCTCGGGCTGCCTTGCGTGACGGGATTGTCTGGAGCCTTGCCTGCCTTGTGTGAGTGTGCCTTGTGTGAGTGTGAGAGTCGAAACCCCTAAACTCGGACGATGTATGCCATGCCTGCTTGAGCGAGTGTGTGAGTCGAAACCCCTAAACCACTCGAACCTACGAACCTCGCCTGGCATGTCCGAGTTGTGAGAGCCTAAACCCCTAAACCCTATATACCTCGCACCATGAACCTCGCCTGGCTTGTCCGAGTTGTGAGAGCGTAAACCCTATATAAGGTAACCACCAAAATTTAGCCACAATGAGACAAGAGGTATGCTGTGAGAGACATCATGCCTGAGGTCCTGTCAATGGTGACCTCACTGGCACTGCCTGATGCTGCCCACCGTGAACGAGAGGGCGCCCTTGAATTGAGCGCAAAGGTTAATTTTTTCAATCATGTAAACAAGCATCAGGAGATTCGGAGACCATCTCGGTGTCGGCACACGGGTTGTCTTAGTCGCCGAAAACAGGCGAAACCTCTGCCGTCTTCTTCGTTGTGCCGTGTACGGAACTCAGTGAACCCTTCGACGGATCAGAGGTTTGTCGAAGCCATGTGCTTCGGTTGAGAATTAAGTGCATTTCTTAGAGGAGCTTCCCATAGCGAGGCATGCTCGCGCGCACAGGTCAGGGCCAACTTCTTTATGGAGTGAGCTGTCACCGACGGGCAGCTGGCCAAGTCGCTTGTAGGGCTCGCGGGTTGAGTCGTCAAGATGCTCAAAGTGTGGCCCAGTTACGTATCCAAGAGCCACCGGTCCCCATTCGTTCAGGCATCCTTCCACCTGATGGGCTCGCAAAAACTAATCGATCTAATCGTTCAGGGGGAGACAAAGCCTGCCCTCGTGGTATGTCTTCCAGGTCTTGTATCTTCTTCAGTACGGGGGATAGGTGCACGTCTCTACCTTGTTGCATGTGTCCCAATGAGTATACGATCACCATCGCTTCGTCATCTCATTCTTTACGGCTGTAGCCTTATGGTGATCTATACTCTTTCGTCACTCCCCTTTACCCGATAAAGCATCGGGTGGGCTTGATGCCCGGGGGCTTTGACCGGCCCCCATGCCCGGGAAGGAGAGAGAGAGAGAGAGATAGAGACAGACAGAGTTTGGGAAGCAGAGGCTTTGCGATTTTGCATGATTTTGCTGTCAAAACCAGGTGGAAGCTTCTGAGCTGCTGCATCGCGATGCAAGCGAAGCTTGCTTGCAGAAGCCGTCCGGTTTCGGATTTCTGTGGGCAAAGAGGCGAACAGAGCCCTGCTTGCCGAAACCTACCTACCTCATCCTAAAGCCCTACAACCCGGTAAGAACGGTAGTCGCCCAGCTTTCCTGGCCACTGGGGTCAATTAGCATGCTGAGGTTTCTCGCAGCTCGGTGCAGAAGGCTGTCTGCATGCTGTTGCGATGCCCTTTCTTCGGCCTCGCGCAGCAGCGTCTCAGTCCCGTGACACAGGCCTCGGACTTGCAACTTCAGCTGAAGCAGCCAAATGGTGATATACACACGCACATGTTGTTTAGCTGCGCAAATGTGCGAGTACCAACGACCTAATTCTTTAATTTGCACATGCGGTACATGCAGCATGTGCATATGCATACCTTATATCACCTTCTACCTACAGTCTTCATGCATGTTTCTACATCATGCATGACCCAGTCTACCTTGCGGTCTTACGACGGTGCGTTCATGATTGAAGCGGAGCCAGGTCTTTTTCGAACAGCGCGATTTCAGATGCACGGACCTCCTGCGCGATTTCGACACTCAGTGCCTCTACTGCAGATGGTTTCGTAATGTTTTGGTTTCGGATGCTGAAGTGGCTGTGGCATTTTCAGACTGATTCAACTCTTTATTGCTGCCCTGGTCAGGTTGGATGCAGTGTCTTTTGAAAAGCTTCCAGCATCTTGGCGCCAAACATGTTTCTTAACTAAGGAATATACCTTAAATCATAACATTAGGGCGCTGATAATTTTGGGTATCTTCCTTAATCAGGGGGTACTGGGCTCTCTGTGTAAGTCCAGGGTCCGACCCAAGCCCAAGGACACGGAGTTGTTTTTCGGAGTTCATCACGCGCAGCTCTTCCGCGGCCTGCGGCACAAGCTGCTCAGCGTGCTGAAGGCGATCCTCCTGGAAGCAAAGGTTCTCGAGCTTGCCTCAGTTGGGATGGCAGACTGCCGATTCAAACCTGCAGAGGGGCCAGAAGACCCTGAAACAGAAGCAAGCTTCACCCCCTTTGCATTCCTGCTACACCTATCTAGGAAGACGTATGGGTGTTTAGTTCAAGATCTCTAATTTGCATGTCAAGGTCTCTTCCGTCCGTCAGCACTTGAGCTTGAGGTGATCTCTGAGAGTGCCGAACAGTGCAGTCGGACCGTTTTGGCCCTGCTCTCCCTGCTGCCTGGCGGTCTCTTTCTCATAGTTGGGTAACATTTTTACAATTTTATGGGTACCTAAACCCAATCAGGAATACGATAATATAGCTGATGATAATGATAATAACCACAAAAGAAAAATTCTAGGACTGATAATAGTATTGTACATACGTTTCAACATGCTTAGTACTATCCCAACCATGAACAAGGTCTCTGGCTGGGCTTCAACTCCGATGGCTTTGGAAGCCGTCATTTCCATTATCGGATCCTCAGAAGTCGAAGAAGTAGACTTTCAAACTGGGTTTAGGGTTTAGGGATGGTTCCTACGTATCCTTACGTTTTTATAGAATCACCCCAAATTCTGGGCAAAAGAACGCTGCTACCCAGAGGTTCCCACAGAACTCCGGAGATTGCTAAGGAAACATGGGCTTCCCATCCAGTGCTTCGGCCCAAGATGCGGTGCTGGGGGGCCCAGTTTCGCTGCAAGGCCCGATTGTGGGGATTTTTCCACAAAAGGTCCGGTGCAAAATTGCTCAGGATCAATATTTTCAGGAACCCTGGAAGTTCAGCTACTTAATTCTGTTGCTACTATGCTACAACTATATAATATGCTATGGCTATGCAGCGGCAGTCGTCTGCCACATATGTGCCGCTTCGAGAAGAGGCTACAACCCTTCTGCCCCAAGCCCTGGCAGACATCCCCTTGAGCCGCTCGAATGCTGCAGCTGCGCGGTTCTTCTTCCTTATTGCGTCGATTGAAAGCATCATTAGACCCTGACGCATCCTCAAAAAGGAACCTGCGTTGCTGATCCGAGAACCCATGGAGGGCTGCGTTTGCTCTCCGAGGTCTTCCCCTACTTGGGCCTGCACATGCTGGACAGCTTGCTCCAGATGCGCGGGTTTCTCATCGGGACCACCAACCGCATCTTCGTCGACCGCACGGCGCCGGACCTCATTCTGGAGGCCAGAGTTCAAGACTTGTACGAAGCACACAATCATAGCATTAACCATAAGACTACTTGTAATGATATTGCTCTCCAATTGCAAGTTTTGCCAGGCGAATCCCGCGAGAACCGAAAACCGCCAAAAGAGCAAGGTAAAGTTCCACTCAGAGACTCAGATGTTCAGCGAGGAAATCCAAGCAGACGCATCTAGACGGAGCAGTTTTTGAGAGTTCTGTCTTTCTGTTCTTCCGACATCAACATCATGGCAAAAGACCGGCGACAGGGAACACCAAGGAAGTCTGCAAGCTGTAAGAAAGTGGCTTGAATTTGCAAGTGGAATGCATGCAGGAATGCAGGAATATTGATTCTTGCCCCAAGTTTGCCGAAAGAACCGCCATGCTAGCAGGTGCCCAGCACAACGGCAAGCACCGAGTACAGCGTGGATTTCCCGTGCAAAGAAGTGAAGGAGCTGACGAGGCATGGCCCAAAAGCACAGCCAAGAAAGTGGACAAGTTGACAAGTCTAACGCGATATGTATGGACCGACAGACGCCTAAACATCATGCTAAATAAGCTAGAACCAGAATGATGTGAGATGAAGCGCAGGTGTACTGGCGCCGAGAAGGCAGGCAAGCATCGGCTACAGTCGCATGCTGCGCACTGGCGTTGCACATGCCATACTCATGTTTCTGACTTTCTTCATGTATGTGTATGTATATATATATATATACATATATATATACACATGTACACACACACGACTAGACACTGCAAGTGCGTGACATCTTTCTCATGCACCTCAGTAGGCAGGCGGGCATGTCTGAGCTGCATGCCATGACCGCGCATATCTTGCTTTGCATTGCACGCACAGAAGTGCACAAGTGTGTAGCACGTCTGAACGTTGCCGGTGGTCTTTATTGGCCCAGCACACGCTCCGTAGCGAACAGCCGCTAATCAGTAGGGTTATTTGAAGCTGCTGCATGTTCGGCCTTGTGATTGCCGCTGCTTTCGGATATGCGCAAGCGTCTAGGGCTATCAGTCGGGATCAACGACTATCCCAAGGAGCCCTTGACATACGCTGTGGCAGATACTGCAAGATGTTGCGAAGCGTTGCAGAGAATTCATTTTGAGTGTCTTAAGTGCATTGATGCTGACCATAACAAGTTCAAGCAATACCTCGGCATGTTCTGCGAGCAGATCACTGAGGAGCATGATTTTCTTGTTTTCAATTTCAATGGCCATTGCAAAGTCATAGACGGCGATGCAGTACTCGTGTTCAGGGATGGAGAGGAAGAGGCTATGAAAGTCGTGGTCGAGAAACTTGTGCTTAGCAAAGGTAGACATGATGCCGTGATACTTTGCCTCATGAACTGTTGCCGTGGAATTTCAAAGGAATGTGCTGACAAGCTTGTGAAGCCGGGAAACAGATCAGCTTGGGGCCGATCCCTGGTCACCATTTGGGCGACACCCTTTGGATATCCTGCCGAAGAGATTCACAATTCAGCTGGCTGCAGCACATTCATGCGAGCGTTTGCTCAGTGCATCGGTCATGAGTTATCGTTGGCTGAGATGTATGACGAGATTGAAAAGGCAGTGACATCGCATTCCCTGAATTCGGTCCGACCAATACCTCAGCAACCATGCTTGTCTGCACAGAAGCTTCCCCAACGATTTGATCTATTCGTCGCTGAATACCCCTCCGGCAAGCACCCCGCTTCGACATACGGCCGTCAACTTGCTGATGTTGATAATGATATCACCGGGACGGATAGTGTGAGTATCCACGGGTTTGAACTCGGATTCACGGATCCTTGTGAGCCAGCAAGCTCAGGCCAACTGGCTTCGATCCAGGTCACGGACCTTGCAGAAGACCATGACAGAATTGAGGTTATTGGTGCAGACCAGGAAGCAGTAAAGCGGTTCTGGGTACCCGTGGTATTTGTTGCAGCTTCCACCTTGCACAGCATATTGGTACTTGCCTGGTGGATGGGGTTAGTCAAGCTACAGCGCAGCAGCCGTGACTCTTTGAGCCTTATGTTGGCGTCTTTTACGTGGGCCTGCTTCAGCTACAGTCCGCAGGCGCAGCATACACAGGAGTGCACATGCGTATTCATATCAAAGCTGGCCAGATGCTGGCCACATGTGGAAAAATTCGCATCAAAAACGTTCTTTCCTCTTTGCTTGGCTGCGCAGGCCTGGGGGCAAGGATTCATCTACAGTGATGGGGTCGAGCTGGCAACAGGGTCCATATCTTGCGCTGCCACCATGGCCCTTCTGTTTGGGTATTTTGTGCTTATGATGGACTACGGACCGGCGGTTTTAGAGGAGTGGCGGGCTCGTGCATCTTGCCAGACGTCGCGCAGGGCCTTCAAAACATGGAGGGGTCTTTTCTTGGTAGCTTGCGGTTTTAGGTTCTATGCCTGCCAAGCCGAATATGGCCTTGCCGTGCAGCAGGGAGAGCGAATGCATCTCCTGTTTCTGGTTGCATTTGTCTTGGGGCTCGTCTACACTCTGGTCTTTGATTGTGATCCCACCTTTGTGTCGCGGGGACGGGCCTTGCCCGTGGCTGGTTTTGCTCTTGCTTTCTCCATGATGGCGGTGCTGGCTGGGTGGTGCAGCGCATTCAAGGAAGGCCATTGGGTCATGCCATTTGCCAGGGGCGTCACGCTCTGTGTCGTCTACATTTTCATCATGTTAACTGGTTTGCTCTTCCATTGGAATTGGAAGTTTGGCGCAGATCCCACTGGCATGTAGTGTAACATATATGTAAGCCTGACCAGTAATTAACTCGGTAGCCGGCTCGAAAGGCTTGCGTGAAAAGGGACGATGCTTTCGACTCGGCCTTTTGCTCAGGCCTCATCGGTTCATGGGTTTCTGGGCTTCAGAACCCAAATTTCACGGGCCTAGCACAGAACGAGGGAATGGGCGTTTGACTACGAGGATGATAACACCGATCCATTACCCCATTCCCTACTAACCGCCAATATATACGTCAACAGAAATGGTTCGTGGCTTCGGGAGCATGATGAGCAGGCACATGCATCTCGTTGCGGCAGGTCTCATTGCGCACCCTTTGAGAGAGACAAGGGGTGCAGATTTACTGGCAGGATTGGCTGCAGAGCGCGTGCGCCCATCTTGACGCTGCAGCACCTCGGGAACTCTGGCAGCTCAGTCGCGAAGATCTTGGACACCCTTCATCTTGAGCCATTTGCGGGAGCTTTGACTCGGAAGGATGTTGTTTCAAACAGCGACTGTCGAGAGATTTCCCTTCACCGTTCTGCTGCTCATGCTTTGAGGCAACCGCCGAGTGCCAAGATGGCAGAGCAAGCGCAGTCCCAGGCTGGAAGCTATCGGTAGGTGCGGCCTCTTCCAAGCCGGCGTCTGGTCTTGCGCACCATGCGTCATGATTGCATGATCCCAACATCAGGAAGTCTTGCAACGGGGCGATGGTGTAAGTAAGCGGTTTTGCTGCATCGACTGCCTTCACAAAGCTCCACTCCCCAGGAGGATGCACAGGAGGAGGATGAAGAGCTGGTGGCGGACCAGCAAGTCGTGTCATCCGACAATGTCGCTGGGGCACGCTGCCCGGAGCTACCATCGAATAGAGCTGCATGTCTGTGGTATGCCCTAGTAGTAGCAGTATGTCTCCTGAGCAGGCTGTGATGACCTCCTTCGATGCAGAGGCCAGCTGAGATGCTTGTGCCACCCGAAAAGGCTAAGAGGTCAAATCATTTCATTTTTGATCGACAACCAACCTAGCAGAGGAAGATCTTCTGAAACCACGGCCGTGAGATGTCCAGGAGCTGGTTCAAGACGCAGAGGCACACGGGCTGGCAGACGGTGAGTTGCAGCAGCGTGTGGGGGACACATCAGGACTGTGCTGTTTACTGGCGCAGGCCGTGGCCAGTGCTGCTGTGCTCAACTCGCAAAAGGAGCTTCTGCCTCCTTACAAGCTAAGGCTGCTATAGTGCCGTGCCTTGTGCTTCCGTACTTCACAGGAGCAGCTGCGACAGGAGGCAGCCTGGGCAGTGACCCAAGCCTCAGACGCTGAAACTAATGCTCTTCTCGTCTCTGCTGCACAGAGATGCCTCTATAGCCAGAGGCTGCGGTTGTGGATGCGGATCGAAACGCGTTCATCGGATACTGGATTCGCCTGTTGGCAGCTGGGGCCCTACTCTGCTACTCCGTCTTTTGGCGATATATTCACCTATTCCTCCGCGATTGAGGCCACTGCGAAGATCGCAGGGCCCGAGCGAGATCTTCCGGCGGGATTGGAGGCTTGAAGTGCAACTGCAGACACGGCGATGCAGTATCCAGTGTACACTGGTGTTCCCAATCCTCCTTGGGGACACTGCAACACGGTTGAAATCGACAGAGGGATGGGCTAACGCACCTGCTGAAAACCGGCCAGGCAGGTGCTCTTGCCACCATGCACACATCGATTGCGTATCATGTGTTTGCTGCTAGATGCTGCAAACATTCCTCGATAACGGTCGGTTGCTTACATGAAGAGGTCCTTTGCATCCCAGTCGTTGTTATGGCAAGCTGCGAAGCTGCATGCGAGTGGAAGCCGCCAGAAGAAACAGCTCATCAGCAGTGCGTGTTGCGAGTTTCGCTGCGCCCTACCCGGAAGGAGATAGCATCACCCCATACAC